TCGAGGCAGCAATTAAGAGCCTACCACACAAAAAAAGCCCAGGTCCAGATGGGTTCACAGCCGAATTCTACCAGACACACAAAGAGGAGCTGGTACCATTTCTTCTGAAACTATTCCAAATAATCCAAAAAGAAGGAATCCTACCCAAATCATTCTACGAGACCAATATCATCCTGATACCAAAACCCGGCAGAGACCCAACAAGAAAAGAAAACTTCAGGCCAATATCCATGATGAACATAGATGCAAAAATCTTCAATAAAATATTGGCAAGCCGATTGCAACAGCAAATCAAAAAACTTATTCATCATGATCAAGTAGGATTCATCCCGGGGATGCAAGGCTGGTTCAACATACGCAAGTCTATAAACGTAATTCACCACATAAACAGAACCAAACACAAAAACCACATGATTATCTCAATTGATGCAGAGAAGGCATTTGACAAAATTCAACAGCCCTTTATGCTAAAAACCCTCAATAAACTCGGTATTGATGGAACGTATCTCAAAGTAATAAAAGCTATTTATGACAAACCAACAGCCAATATCATACTGAATGGGCAAAAACTGGAAGCATTCCCTTTGAAATCCGGCACTAGACAAGGATGCCCTCTGTCACCACTCCTATTCAATATAGTACTGGAAGTTCTAGCCACAGCAATCAGGCAAGAAAAAGAAATAAAGGGTATTCAAATAGGAAAGGTGGAAGCTAAATTGTCTCTATTTGCAGACGACATGATAATATACCTAGAAGACCCCATTGCCTCAGCCCAAAAACTCCTGAAACTGATAAGCAACTTCAGCAAAGTCTCAGGATATAAAATCAATGTGCAAAAATCACAAGCCTTCCTCTACACCAATAACAGACTTAAAGAGAGCCAAATCAAGAATGAACGGCCATTCACAATTGCTACAAAAAGAATAAAATACCTTGGAATACAACTCACAAGGAACGTAAGGGACCTCTTCAGGGAAAACTACAAACCACTGCTCAACGAAATCAGAGAGGACACAAACAGATGGAGAAACATTCCATGTTCATGGTTAGGAAGAATTAATATCGTGAAAATGGCTATACTGCCCAAAGTAATTTACAGAATCAACGCTATCCCCATCAAGCTACCATTGACTTTCTTCACAGAACTGGAAAAAACCACCTTGAACTTCATATGGAACCAAAAGAGAGCCCGCATAGCCAAGTCAATTCTAAGCAAAAAGAACACAGAGGGGGGCATCATACTACCGGATTTCAAACTATACTATAAGGCTACAGTAATCAAAACAGCATGGTACTGGTACCAAAACAGAGATATAGATCAATGGAACAGAACAGAGGCATTAGAGGCAACACAACATAGCTACAACCATACAATCTTTGATAAGCCTGACAAAAACAAGCAATGGGGAAAGGATTCCCTGTTCAACAAATGGTGTTGGGAAAACTGGCTAGCCATGTGTAGAAAGCAGAAACTGGAACCCTTCCTGACACCTTACACCAAAATTAACTCCAGATGGATTAAAGACTTAAACATAAGACCCGGCACCATAAAAACCCTAGAAGGAAATCTAGGCAAAACCATCCAGGACACAGGAGTAGGCAAGGACTTCATGAACAAAACACCAAAAGCATTGGCAACAAAAGCCAAAATAGACAAATGGGACCTAATGAAACTCCACAGCTTCTGCACAGCAAAAGAAACAGTCTCTAGTGTGAATCGGCAACCAACAGAATGGGAGAAAAAATTTTTGCAGTTTACCCATCTGACAAAGGGCTGATATCCAGAATTTACAAAGAACTCAAACAGATTTACAGGAAAAAAACAAGCCCATTCAAAAGTGATCAAAGGATATGAACAGACACTTTACGAAAGAAGACATATATGAGGCCAACAATCATATGAAAAAATGTTCATCGTCACTGGTCATCAGAGAGATGCAAATCAAAACCACATTGAGATACCATCTCACGCCAGTTAGAATGGCGATCATTAAAAAATCTGGAGACAACAGATGCTGGAGAGGATGTGGAGAAAAAGGAACACTTTTACACTGTTGGTGGGAGTGTAAATTAGTCCAACCATTGTGGAAGACGGTGTGGCGATTCCTCAAGGCCTTAGAAATAGAAATCCCATTTGACCCAGCAATCCCATTACTGGGTATATATCCAAAGGACTATAAATCGTTCTACTACAAGGACACATGTACACGAATGTTCATTGCAGCACTGTTTACAATAGCAAAGACCTGGAATCAACCCAAATGCCCATCGATGATAGACTGGATTGGGAAAATGTGGCACATATACACCATGGAATATTATGCAGCAATCAGAAGTGATGAGTTCGTGTCGTTTATAGGGACATGGATGAATCTGGAGAACATCATTTTCAGCAAACTGACACAAGAACAGAAAATGAAACGCCGCATATTCTCACTCATAGGCGGGTGATGAAAAATGAGAACACATGGACACAGAGAGGGGAGTACTAAACACTGGGGTCTATAGGGGGGAAAGGGGAGGGCCAGTGGGAGGGGGAGGTGGGGAGGGATTGCCAGGGAAGAAATACCAAATGTGGGTGAAGGGGAGAAAGCAAACAAAACACACTGCCATGTGTGTACCTATGCAACTGTATTGCATGCTCTGCACATGTACCCCAAAACCTAAAATGCAATAAAAAAAAAAAAAGAAAAAGAAAAAAAAACTGCACAGGTACACAGAAACTGAAAAACCTGCTCCTGAATGACTACTGGGTAAATAACGGAATTAGGGAAGAAATAAAGATGTTATTTGAAACCAATGAGAACAAAAACACAATGTACCAGAATCTCTGGGACACGTTTAAAGCAGTGTGTAGAGGGAAATTTATACAACTGAATGCCCCCAAAAGAAAGCAGGAAAGATCTAAAATCAACAGCCTAAAATCACAATTTAAAAAACTAGAGAAGCAAGAGCAAACAAATTCAAAAGCTAACAGAAGACAAGAAGTAACTAAGATCAGAGCAGAACTGAAGGAGATAGAGATAAGAAAAACCCTTAAAAAGAGTCAATGAATCCAGGGGCTGATTTTTTCTAAAAGATCAACAAAATAGATCAATTGCTAGCCTGAATAAAGAAGAAAAGAGAGAAGAGTCACATAGATGCAATAAAAATGACAAAGGGGATATCAGCAATGATCCCACAGAAATAAATACTATCATCAAAGAATGCTATAAATACCTCTAGACAAATAAACTATAAAATTTAGAAGAAATGGATAAATTCCTGGACACATACACCCTTCCAAGACTAAATCAGGAAGAAGTCAAATCCCTGAATAATAGTTTCTTTTGCTGTGCAGAAGCGCTTACTTAGATGCCACTTGTCTATTTTGGCTTTTGTTGCCATTGCTTTTGGCTTTTTAGTCATAAAGTCCTTGCCTATGCTTATGTTCTGAATGGTATTGCCTAGATTATCTTCTAGGATTTTTATGGTGTTGGATCTTATGTTTAAATCTTTAATCCACCTGGAGTTAATTTTTATATAAGGTGTAAGGAAGGGATCCAGTTTCAGCTTTATGCATATGGCTAGCCAGTTTTCCCAACACCGTTTATTAAATAGGGAATCCTTTCCCCATTACTTGTTTTTGTCAGGTTTGTCAAAGATCAGATGGTTGTAGATGTGTGGCATTACTTCCGAGGCCTCTCTTCTGTTCCATTGTCTATTAGGTCTGCTTGATCCAGATCTGAGTTCAAGTCCTGAATATCCTTGTTAATTTTCTGTCTAATATTGACAGTGGAGTGTTAAAGTCTCCCACTATTATTGTGTGGGAGTCTAAGTCTCTTTGTTCAAAAGAGACACAGAAGGGCATTATGTGATAGTAAAGGGATCAATGCAACAAGAAGAGCTAACTATCCTAAATACATATGCACCCAATACAAGAGCACCCAGATACATAAAGCAAGTTCTTATTAATTCTTTCAGAGAACTAACTTTTGGGTTCATTGATCTTTTGTATGTTTTTCTCACCTCCATTTCATTCAGTTCTCTGACTTTTGTTATTACTATTCTTCTGGAATCTTTGGAATTAGTTTGCTCTTGTTTTTCAAGTTTCTCTAGGTGTTATATTAGGTTGGCAATTTGAGAACTTTCTAATTTTTTCAAGTGAGTGATTAATGTCACACACTTCTCTTTCAACACTGCTTTAGCTGTCTCCCAGAGATTCTCATATGTTGTATTTTTGTTTTCATTAGCTACAAACCATTTCTTGATTTCTGTCTTAATTCACTGTTTACCCAAATGTCATTTAGGATCAGACTGTTTGATTTCCATGTAATTGTGTGATTTTGAGCAATCTTTTTGGTATTCACTCCTATTTTTATTGCACTGTGGTCTGAGAATGTGGTTGGTATGACTTTGGTTTGTTTTCTTAAAAATTTGTTGAGAATTGCATTATGGCCAAGTGTAGGGTTCATTTTAGAGTATGTGTCATGTGCAGAGGAGAAGAATGTACATTCTGTTTTTGTTGGGTGGAGTATTCTGTAGATGTCTCTAAAGCCCATTTGGTCAAGTGTCAGGTTTAAGTCCTGAATATCTTTGTGAGTATTCTCCCTTGATGATATGTCCAATATTGTTAGTGGGGTGTTGACGTACCCCACCATTCTTGTGTGTTTATTTAAGTCTATTCATAAATCTCTAAGGTCTTGTTTTATGAATATAGGTGCTTCAGTGTTGGGTGCATGTATATTTATGATAGTTCAATCTTGTTGAATTAAGCCCTTTATCATTGTGTAATGCCCATTTTTGTCTTTTTTGATCATTGCTGGTTTAATGTCTGTTTTGTTTGAAATAAGAATAGCAACCCCTGTTCTTTTTTGTTTTCCATTTTCTTACAGATCTTTCTCCATCCCTTTTCTTTGAGCCTATGGATATCCTTGCATGTGAGATGGGTCTCTTGAAGATGACATGGAGTTGGGTCTTGCTTTTTTTAAATAAAACTTGCCACTCTGTCCCTTTTTTAATTTTTAATTTTTGTGGATATATAGGATATATATATATAGGATATACATGAGATGTTTTGATACAAGCATGCAGTGCATAATAATTATATCATGGAGAATGAGGTATTTATCCTCTCAAGCATTTATCCTTTGTATCATAAAAATCAATTATATTTTAGGTATTTTTAAATGTACAATTCAGTTATTTTTACTGCAATTATCCTCTTGTGCCCTCATTTTTAAGTTGTGTATTTAGCCTGTTTACATTCAAGGTCAATATTGATATGTGCAGATGTGATCCTGTCATCATGTTGTTAGCTGGTTGTTATGTACACTTGCTGTGTATCTGCTTCATAATGTTGTGGTCTATGTACTTAAGTGTGTTTCTGTATTGGCTGGTAACGGTCTTTCATTTCCATGTTTAGCATGCCCTTAGGACCTTCTGTAAGGCAGGTCTGGTGGTAATGAATTCCTTAAGCACTTACTTTCCTGAGAAAGACTTTATTTCTCTTTTGCTTATGAAGTTTACTTTGGTTGAATATGAAATTCTTGGTTGGAATTTTTTCTTTAAGCGTTCTGAAAATACATCCCAATCTCCTCTGGCTTATGGGTTTTCTGCTGAAAGGTCCACTGTTAGCCTGATTAGGTTCCCTTTGAGGATGATTTGCCCTTCTTTCTAGCTGCATTTAATGTTTTTTGTATGTGTTGACTGTGGATAATCTGATGACTTATGTGCTTGGGGATGGTCACCTTTTACAGTATCCTGCAGGGATTCTCTAAATTTCTTGAATTTGCATGGCAACCTCTCTAGTATGTTGGAGAAATTTTTATGGACAATATTCTCAAATATGTTTTCCAAGTTCCTCTCTCTCCCTGTCTTTCATACTCACCAGTGAGTCATGGGTTTGGTCTCCTTATATAATCCTATGTCTCTAATTTTGTTTACTTAAAAAATCTTTTTTCTTTATTTTTGTTTGACTGAGTTAATTCTAAGAACTTTGTCTATTCTGCTGTTAATAATTCCAATTGTGTGATGAAATTATTGTAGTATGTTTTTTCAGCTCTATTGGCTCAGTTTGGTTCTTTCTTAAAATGCCTATTTTACCTTTCATCTCTTGAATCGCTTTAATGAATTCCTTGATTACTTAGAATGAGTTTCAGCTTCCTCCTGAGTCTTGATCTTTGATACCATTCAGATTTTGAATTCTATGCCTGTCATTTCGGCCATTTCTTTCTAGCTAAGAACCATTGCTGAGGAGTTAGTGTGGTCATTTGGATGTAAGGAGACACTCTGGCTTCCAGAGTTGCCAGAGTTCTTATGCTGGTTCTTTCTCATCTGTGTGAAGTGATGTTCTTTTAACTGTGAAGTAGTGTAGTCAATTGACTTTGTTTCTGGCTCTTTTCAGAGGGCCAAGTCTTTGTGCAGGCTCTTTACTTGTGGCAGAATTGTTGTCCTTGGTTTCACAAGGGGGTATATTAGGAAAGTATTTTTGCTGTTGAAGTTTGGGATGCATTCCGGTAATGCACTTAAGCATAACGGCCTGTAGGAAGGCTCTTGCTCAGCCATGTGGCTCCTATATATTTCCTCACATGTGCAGCTGTGCTCCTTCTCAGTCTTCTGAGGGTGTGGGCTTGCCTCCCACTAAAGTGCTGGCTATAGTTTTCGGCTTGGCATTCCTGGGCTGCACACTACAGCCCTGGGGTGAGCTCAGGATTTTGTTCCTTCCCCAGCTTGGGGGCAGCAGGGACGGGGACCTTGGCAGTGGCAATGGCAAAGGACCTTTCACTTGTCTCTGGGGCTCCATCCCAGAGAATTGCATAGCTGCTGACATTTGGAATGATCACCCCAATGTTGGGTAGCTGTGTTGCCGGTCTAAGCCTTGGGGCCTGCCTGAGGACACCTGGTGGGGTGGGGAGCTAGTGGGAAAGGCAGTCTGGCCTTTTCTCTATAGAGAGGCTATGGTGTGCTGGAAGGACAAGTAAAGCACTCAGGCTCTTTGTTCCTTCCCCAGCCTGGTGGCAGCATGAGTTGGTACCACTGCAGTGGCAGTGGCAGAGGGCAAGTCTGTTGCCTCTGGCAACTCCACCCCAGAGAGACACAGAGCCGGTGCCTATGGAGGCATTCAGCTGGGGGTGGGGTGGCTGCATTGTGGATCCTAGCCAAGGCCCTGTCTAGTGAAGAGCAGGGAGTTGGGGGCTCACAGGGAAGAGAGACTGGGCTCCTCTTCATATAGTGGTTGTGCCACGTTAGAGGTGCCAGCAAAGTGATCAGGGTCTTTTTTTCTTCTTCAGACAGAGGGCAACAAGGACAGTTCTACTGCAGCTGCAAATGGCAGAAAGCCTGTGGATTGTCCCAGATTTCCTCCCAGAGAAATGTAGAGCCGCCACTGACCAAAGTGCTCACATTGGGGGAAGGGTGGCTGTGCTGGGGACCCAGGTCAGGAAAACCTGCCCAGTGAGGAGTAGCAGGGGCAGGGAGCTGCATGGAAAACAGTCTGGGCACATTTCTGTAAGGCAGTTGTAGTGTTCTCAAGGCCCGTGACAGTCCTTAGGCTTCTTGCTTCCTCCCAGCCTGAGAGCAGTAGAGGCAGGGGCTGCAGCAGTGGCATAAATGGTGGGCATGACCATTACCTCTGGGAGTTCCAACCCAGATAATGCAGAGTTGCTACTGGTCCAACTGCTGAGGTGGGGGGTGGGGTAGCTTCACTTGGGTCCCAGGTCAGTGGGGTTTGTTTGGCAAGGTATAGCAGATGCTATGCCTGCAGTCCGTCCACCCCTCAGCACTGTGGGTACAGCCTCTATCCTGGGGGTGTGCAAGAGAGCCCGGCCTGCCTTGTTGGCAGAGCTACAGTAGCTGGTGGAGTAGTGCTCAGGAGTTCAAGGCCCTTGTGCTCCACACAGGCCTGAGCAGTGGTTCTGCCAAGCAACTCTTGGTGTCAGTCTGGAGGCCCAGGGTAGAGAAGGTTGGCGGTGGGGTGTGGTGGGGGCTGGGGGGTGTGGCATTTCCTGTGCCCAGGTTTGCAAAGTCTAAGTCAGAAGTGTGAGTGAGTCCCAGGGGCTCTTGTTCACTCACTGTTTCCCCAGTAGGGAGCCTCCCTGGGTTCCACACCAATTCCCAGTAGGCAGCTGTCCTGTCTCACTCTTCTCTTTTCTCTGTGGGTTGGTATTCTTGATGAATCCTAATGTGTCCTCCTGGACAATCCCACTGAAGAGCTAGTGTTTAACTCCTCCCTGCCCTGCCTTAAAAAAAAAAGTAAATTGAGATACAATAAGATGTATATGCCATGAAATCTGATTCATTAGCTATTCAATGGTTTGATGTATATTAATTTTAAGAAGTTAGTTACAAATACAGAACATAAAAGTAGACACTTTAACTAATTTAAATTGTACATTGAATGAAATTCATGATGATTTAGAAATCTCATTACTACCTATTTCCAAAACATTTTCTTCACTCCAGCAGAAACTCTGTAACTATTAAGCAATATTTCCCCAATCTGACTTCCCCCAGTCCCTGGTAATTTCTAATTGACTTTCTGTATCCATGAATTTGCCTATTCTTCTACCTATAACTGAACTTATTGTAATATTTGTCTTTCTAAGTCTGGCTATTTTCACTTACATAGTGTTCTCAGGGTCATTCCTGCTGTAGTAGGAATCAGAACTTCACTCCTGTTTGTGACTAAATAATATTGCATTGTATGTATGTAGGACATTCTGTGTACCCGTTTGTCTGTTGATGGACACCTGAGTTCTTTCTATCTTACATCTGTTGTAAATAATGGTGTCATGAACATTGGCTTACAAGTATGTGCTCGAATCCCTGTTTTCAATTAGTTTGGTTATATAGCCAGGTGGGAATTTCTGGATACTATGGTACTTGTGCTCTTATCTTTTCCAGATATCACAAATCTGTTTTCCAAATTGGTATGCCAATTTACATTCACCAGCAATTTGTAAGAGTTCCAATTTTTCACATTTTGTTAAATATTTGTTATTTTCCACTAAAAGTAATCATAGACTTCCTAAAGGGTATGAAGTGGTGTCTCATCGTGGGCTTCCTTCACACGTCCATAATGATGAATGAAGTTGAGCATCTTTTCAGGAGCTTATTGACCATTTGCATGTCTTCTTCGCAGAAGAGTCTGTTGTAGTCATTTGCTGATTATTGAATGGAGTTTTGTATTTTGATGTTGAGTGGTGTTCTTCATATATTCTCATTTGCGTTGCAAATACATTCTGCCATTCTGTAGGCTGTCTTTTAGCTTTTCTATCCTTTTTTTACAAAACTTTATATATGGTGTAGGTAAGGGTCTACCTTTATTATTTTATGTGTGAATGTTCAGTGCTCCCCTCCTTGTCCACCTTTCTATTTCTTTGGTCATGCTCAGGTCTCTATCTCTCCCATCCAAATGAGACTTTCACTTTTATACTTCACCTCTCTTTTCACCCAGGTACTAGGGGTAGTAATGGGAGTGAGTGCCCAGTGTCCTGGGCTCTGTGAGCATGGCCAGCATGAGCCTTGTACACCACCTGATTCTGGGTGACCTACTAACCATTATGTACAGGAGGTTTCCAACTCACTCTCCTGGCCCAATTTTCCCTCTTCCTCCAACCCTAGCTGATCACCTACTGTTCAGATTTTCCCTTTCCTGCCTCTTCTCAGAGCATGGCTGAACTATCCCAGTGACTCAGGAGCCCAGGAGACTTAGAGAGAGGTCCTGGCTACAGGTACCAACTAGGAGAGAAGCCCATTAGGGTACTAGAATGAGATGTCACATCTCAGGCAGCGATAAATCTGTCTATGGCATCCAGGACCCTGGGCTAGGAATGGAGAGGGTTTGAAAGGACACCTATGCTCAGATCAAGGAAGAGAAGCAAGGTCTGGATGGAGAAAGCTTGGTGCAGTCAGGAACACCTGCTACCCAGGTCTCGATTCACTCTTTTCCTTGACCAAGTGGAGCTGGTGGGAGTGCATGAGGGCGAAGTGGTGAAATAGGGCTAAGGAGCACCAGTATCCAGGCAGTCACCAAGTATGAACAGCATTGAGGATGTTCCTGCTCCCCCAAGGTAGCCAGCCCGAGAAGCAGAGGACCACTGAAAACCTGTGCTGTGAGGAGGAGCTGCTTGGAGTCTGACAGCCTCTTTGCCTACCTGGGCTCCTCCTAGTGCTTGCTGAACAGCTGTGTACTCTGAGCCTTCTCAGGAGTATGCAGGTCTCATATATTAAGGAAGTTGATAGATGTCTGGTGATGTTGCTGGGATGGCTGCTTTCTCAGTCTCATTCAAGCTGTGAAGAGCCGTGTACCAGAGGCCCTCATGCAAGACTAGGCCTCTGAGGCTTTCTTGCTAAGCCCACTGCAGCCCCACTATGGCTGGGATTATGTCCTTGATCAAACCCCTTTTGGAAATTTCATCCCCAGTGTGACACATTTGGAGATGCATCATAGTGAGGAGGTGTTTGAATCATGGGTTAGATCCTTCATAAATAATTTATTGTCCCCTTCATACTTTGCAGGTGTGAGTGAGTTCCTGCTCTAGGTGGTACAGTCATATTTCCAGGACAGTGGCTCCTGAAAAGAGTATGGCTTTCTTGGTGTCTCTCTCTTGTTTCCTCTCTCATCATGTGATCTGTCACATGGCTGCTTCTCATTCTCTTTCTATCATCGGTGAAAGCAGCATGAGGACTACACCAGATTCAGCTGCCAAATCTTGGACCTTCCAGCCATCCAAATCATGAGCCAAATAAACCTCTTTTCTTTGTCAATTACCCAGCCTTAGGTATTCTCTTATAGCAAAACCAAACACAGTAAGACAAATCCTTAGCTCAGCCTTGCTCTGATTCATCTCGCATAAGGAAAACTAAATCTTGAATGGAATAGAGGCCTGGAATCTTTACCCTATAAATGTGAGCTGCTCCCTCTGAGCTCCTTGAGAAAACCCCTTTATCTAAACTGTCAAGAAAACCTCAGGAGCTGGGCAGGTTGTGGCCATCATGGGTCACAGGCATGCAATTGTATGAAGCAGGGTAAGCCAGGTCAATCCCATCTGGGATCCTTGCACCATAGAACAAATATCAACACTCTTTTTCCTACTCTGAAGAGACTTGTTTCCACTATATTTCCTCCCCCTTGGTGTCTTCTCTCCTCTGTCAATTTCCTTTTAAGTAAATGCAGACACTGCATACACTTTGTGTACTTTTTTCTATAGGGGAGTGAAGACAGAGGGGTTCTGTGAATAGCAATCAGATTGCCAGCTGCCATGCAGGACAAATATAGATAAACATATAGAATGACAATCAGATAGGAACTGTGCTAAGCTGAATCAAGACCCTAGATGATGTCCACATCCTAATACATGGCATCCATAATTATGAGACTGAATATATCAAGATGGACTTTGAAGTGGAAAGTAATGGGTTTTGAGATGGTGAATTTATCCTGGATTATCTGAATCAACTAGATGGAACCACAAAGGTCTTTATTAGAAGGAAAGAGATGTGAGGACAGTAAGAGAGAGATTTGAAAATGCTGTTGGTTCCAAAGAGGGAGGGGGCCAGTACCAAGGAATGCAAAAAAAAAAAAAAGGCAGCTCTGGAGCTGAAAGGGCAAGTGGTAAGACTCTTCCCTAGCACCCCTGAAAGGGGTTGGCCCTGTCTACAACTTGTTTTCACCCACTGAAACCCATATCTGACTTTGACTTACAGAATTGTAAGGGAAAACATTTCTGTTATTTAAAATTACCAAGATTACAGTAGTTTATTTCAGCAGCAATAGAAAATGCCTACAATATACAGACAAGTAGGCAGGAGTTAGTCAGGTGTAGCGGGAGACAGGCTCGAGGGCAGGCAGGAGACTGGGTGTCAAATGCAGAGCCAGTGATGCAGGTGGGTAGGAGACAGACAGACAAGCAGGGAGGGAGCCTGGAGAAAGGTGACTGAGAAATGGAAAACAGACTGGAAGACAGAAATAGGATAGCAAACAGGTGAGAAGAAGGGCACGTGGGCAGATTGAAAGCAGAAAGTGGGCAGACAGGCAGAAGACAGGAGCAGAGGTCAGGAAGACAGGATGGCAAATGGAGGACCTCAGAGCTGGTCCTTGTCCCCACAGGGGTTGGGGAGCCTTCTGAGATGCAGGTGGATCCCATTGCTGGACTCCAGCACAATTCGTGGCATGGGGACGGGGATCCTGGTGGGATCAGGCAGCAGCTCAAAGCAGAGCAGGGTCAGGGCCGTGGCCACCTTTAGCTGGTTCATGGCAAATTGTTTCCCAGTGCAGTTCCTGGGCCATGCAGAGGCCATAAATTGAAAAATGGCCTCAGGCCTCATTGTGAGCTAGGCAGGCTTTGGTCTCTGAGCTCTACCCTTGAGCTGGGGATTTAGAGTCTTCCTCTACGTGCCCAGCCCCCAAATCCTTTCCTTAAAGGCCACATGCACCTCTGCCCAGGCCTTGATTCACTCTTTTTCTTGAGTTTAGACAGAGCCTGCCAGTCTTCCGAGGCTAGCTCCTAACTCCTACCTCTGCTCTGAGCAGACCTGTGACCCTCTGTCAGGAGGACCACGGCTCTAAGGCTCAGAGTTTAATCACATGAATTGTAGAGTTAGTCAATGGTTTGTTCACTCTTCCACAGACAGTGTGTGGTTCCCCAGTGTAGAGCCTAGATCAGGTCACTGTGGGGTTGGAGAGGCACATTCTCTGGCGCTCTCCATGCAGGGGTACACAGAGACCTGGATTCTTAGAGAGAGGCCCAGATGAGTGGGAAAGAGGAGTCTGAAGGGTAATAGGGAGGCTTCCTGGGAGGGCACTGGGTAGGTGGTGCTCAGTTGTTGCCCCACTTTCCTCCAACTCCATGGTCTAGGCTTGCCTCCCCTTCCCCATCTGTCCACCAGCATGTGTAGCCTTCTAATTCTATTCCAGAAATGTCCCTCCTTACCATCCCTCAGTCTTCTTACCTGGACTTTCTGGGTCCCTGCTTGCTCTCCTTCCACACTGAAGCAATAGACCAGCTCAGACTCTCCCACACTCCACAGTGGGGACAGCATCCCAGGTAGCAGCCAAGCCCTCCCTGGATTGTTGCCTCACCCAACTCTTACCTGTCTAGCCCTGTTCATGTGGAGATGGCTGAGAATATCCTCTCTCCACCTCTGCCTGCCACATCCTCAAGGCTAAGTCCAGGGCCCACCTGCCTCTCACCCCCTTCCAGCTGTGCCTCTTCCAGCTCAAGACCCCAGTTGGCATCTTTGCTCCATCCATAAAGAGTCATTCCAGTGCCTAGGACAGTGCCAGAAACAGAAACACTCAAAGAGCCACTCAGTGACTAAGTGAAAGGATGGATGAGGGAGCGATGTGTGTCTGGAGCACAGAATACGTTTCTGTATAATACATTTTTGTCCTTGACTATGAACTCCTAGACACAGGGACAGTACCTTTTTCCTGTTTTCCCATCATGCTGCACAGGGCCTAACCCACAGAGATAGGCTTATTAAATACTTATATATTTGAAAGAAGTTAATTACGTTTAAAAAATGAATAAAATAGAATGGAATACACTGAGAGTTAATATTAGTTCTGGACTAGACATGGAGCTTAGGAACGCTCTCCTGTCCTCTAGTGGCAGCAACATGATTGACAGCCAGTGTTTAGGAGGAAGTTCTCATCCTGGGATGAAGCAGTGCTGGAGAAGGACTTTCTGGAACATTTGCTTAATGACCATTGTGTGAAAGTGGACTCACCATCAGGAGAATTTACGTAATTACTCATTTAGAAAAACTGTGTTTTCACTAACAATTTACATAGCTTTTGGCATTAGCTTTTCATCAGATGTTTCCTCAGCCCCTGAGGATTTCCACATCAGTTATTTTGGAGTGCATATGTTCAACTGAACAGCTATTTCAAGTGTATTTCGTAATCCACACACAGGAAGTCTTCAAATGTTATTTGTCATATACTCAAAAGAGGGCTTCCCTCAAAGTCAGGTTATTGTCCTCATTTTTATGTGTTTGTCCACATTTTGCTATGGGAGCTGTGGGATCATGCTATAGAGAATCCATTGCACAAAAACAATTTTGCCAAATGGGAAAGGGGACATAAATATGTGAACATTGTAACACAGTGAGCATTTGTTGGACAAAACAGCAAAATATTTGAGACAACACATATGGGTATTAAACTTTCTGCAAAGGGCTGTCTTAACCTTCCACTTGTTTGGCTTGTAAGGGAGGACTAGCAAGGCACCTTAATTCTAAACATACGCAAAGATTTCAGTGTTTTCACATTAGTGAGTTAGGTAGAAATGGTGATGTGCTGCATCAGCAATATGTAGGGAGAGAGAAGTCAGCTTTAATATCTCTGAAAATTGAGGAATGCTAATATATAAAATTAATTTTACCAAAAAAGTCTAATATTGAAAATTCATACTCCCAAAATGAGGCAAACACCAGAATACTTGGAAGTTCAGAACACGCACGATCAGTGAATTTTGTCTGGACATTGGAAAAGGCAGAGGGAGGCGAAGTCCCCGTGCTGGGCCCTGAAATGCAGTTGTTTTGTTCACAGAGACATTGGCATCAGACTTCCTTCTTGCAAGCACCAGCATCCAAGGGTATAGGTGAAGATGCCACATGTGAATTAGGGAGCATAAGCATCAGCTGTGTGCCCAAGGCGGCCCTGTTTCTCCACCTCCATTACCAGTTTGCCTCACCTTGATCCTCCAGAGAAGGGCAGGAAAGCGTGGCTGTGTTGAGCAGAACCCAGGGCAAAGTGGGAAGGGTCAAACACCTGCAAAAAGAGCACCAAGGCAGGACAGATAGGAGTCCAGCCCCTGCTATCTACCCATAAGGGGACAGGATCCCCAGAAGTATGAGTAGGAGGTGTTGAGAGATCATCTTCCTCCAAGGCCTTCTTACCTCTGGGTTTGGCCACATGTTCAGGTTGTGGTGAAGGCCATAAATGGAAAGGCTGACTTTCAATCCTATGGGGAGGGTGTAGAAGAGAGAGAGAAGGCGGATCATACCCATGAGGTGACCTGGTCCCTCTGGCAGCAGGGAACAAGTGTTGCTTTGAATCATCACTTTGAGCAGGATGATGTGGGGACTGGGCTCAAAGGATGAGCAGAAAACCATGAATCCAGGGATGAGAAGCAAGAAAGCATTGGTATTTTACTGTCTGTCGTAAGTGCAGTGGGAAGCGACCTTCATCAAATGCCTCCAAGTTTCACTGGGGAATATACATGACTCACTCAATACCCACAGCAACCATCCAAAGAAGACGTTCCTTTGTTCCCAAATTTCAGAGGAGCTACCTCAGTCTCAGAGGCTGATTTTCTTGTCTATGGTCATACAGCTAGAATATGACAGGACTGAGACCAGACCCACTGGAGATTGAGCCTTGGTGGCCTCTGTCTGCTACAGGACATGGACATCCGTGGCTCTCTGCCATCAACCTGAGGGCTCCTCAAAAACTGGACAACAGCTGACCCATGACATGTGATTCCTGATCTCCCCCATTTGCCTTAACCCCATCAATAAAGAACCACATCTCCCTGCTCCTGTGTCTGATTTTTTCTAGAATTTCTGATTCTCATGAAATAGAATTTTGGGGCTTTCATTCCCAAGGCTACAATCAGAGGCTGACATTTATTTATCAGACTTTTCATGGTTCAGGCTCTTTGCCAAGCATTTCAAATTTTTCATCCTAACTATAAAGTATACTTAGGATCATTTTTTGACAAGGAATGAGAGACACACAGAGGTTTGCAAATGCTGAAGCACAGGTGCATTTCTGACCCTCCACATCTCCCTGTGGAGAGCTTAAGTGAGTGGATGGGGGAAGTTCACATCTTTGGGCAATGAGCGCTCATCAGGGAAGGTGATGGGAGTTCTGAGCTCTCTGCCAATGCTTGGCACCGGTGGGTAGAATCTCAGTGCCTCCTTGATATACATGGTAGTGTAGGGCATCTGGTGCAGGTGGTTCCTCAAACAAAGTCCATCCTGAACATCAGCAGGACCTGGACAGACCACGTGAATCCCCCTACGGAGAGGGCAGGGCTCCTGCATCTCCTGAGCCCACACTCACCAGGTGATGAAGGCTTCATCTCCCAGGAGGCTCTGGATCTCCTCGCGGCACATCTGCTGATCCTTGGGGTGTATGGCCAGAGCGTAGAGGATCCAGGAGATGCTGCTGGCTGTGGTGTCATGTCCTCCAAACATAAATGTGTCCACCTCAGCACGGAGGTCCTTGTCTGACAAGCTGCTGCCATTCTCCATCTGGGGAGGCTGAAGTGAGAGTTCAGGATTGGTCTCTTGCTCTGTGCTTTTGGGAAAAGCCTCTGGCCTCTCCTACACACAGTCACTTTGGCCAAAAGGAGGATGTCCAGGATATCCAAATGCCTCTTTCTCCTGACCTTCTCCAGCTCCCGCTCCTCCTGCAGCCGAAACTTCCTCAGCTGGATCACTCGATCTGTTCCAGAACAGTGGTTACTCTACAGGCTGAGTGTGCCAGCGGCCCCCAGAGTCCCAGCTGTTCACCTGCCCCTGTGTGGGTGCCTGGTAGATCTCAGCATGAGTGTGGGTGTGGGTACATGGTCAGGAGTAAGAGCTCTACTACAGTGTGAGGCAGGGCAGACCTCTCCGCAGTGGCATGACTCACAGAGCCACTGTTTGAATGCTGCTTGGATGGGGTCTCATGTAACCATCCCCATGTGGGGACACAGATAAATGCCTGCACCATGCCTGCCCCTAACATCTCAGCTCTTAGCCCCTGCTCCACAGAAATCTCCATCATGGGTGTGTCTCAGTTTCTGCAGGGGCAACAGGGGGCCTGGCTCTGTGATGACACAGAGCAGCCTCCTTTAGCTGTGCTTAGTGGGGAGGAGACAAGAAGAGGAGACAGAACCTGCGTGCTGATGGACAAGCTGGCAGGTGCGGTGGTTTAAGCAGCCGGTAGGAGTCAGGTTGTAGATTGCGTCATTCTGATGAAAGACATTGCTCATGTGGGAAATAAACAGGTTTTTGAGGTCCTCAATGGCCTGGATATAGGATTGGATATCCCTGAGGGAAAGGATGCAGAAGAGACCAAAGTATAAGAAGTAAAAGAGGCCTTTGATTAGGAGGCGGTGTGGAATCTGGATAGAGACAGCTTCAAATACTGGGGACAGATATCACTGAGGCACTTGTTCTGTCTTAGAGCTCTGTGATCCTGAGGTTTTTATAAGATACTGTAAACAGCCAGGGTCTACCTGTGCTAGGGATGAAGAATCTGTAGCTGAAGCATGTTTTGGTCTGGTCTGGAATTAGAGCGTTCATAGTCTGAGTCTCTCTTCCTGTGGAAGTGAGCCCCCAGGCTGCCCCACTTGCCTCTCGGGCACGTCCATGCAGTTGATAAGAACATGACCTGGGGGGTTATCACTGACCGGTCCAACTGGACGCTGCCCTGGTAACTGAAGGCACACTTCATGTTGGTGTCCAGGGTAATCAGGGAGACATGCTGAGAGACCTCCAGAGGGGAGTCCTGGCCAATGAGCTCCTCCCATTTGTCCTGTGGTGGGAGGGGTATGGACCTTCTTAATCCCCCAGAATTATTTTGCTAATACAGCTCGGCTTTTCCCTTTCCTCCAGATATCGCGGTTGGGATCCCTCGTTTAAGAACAGCTGTAGTGTTGAAATTGGTATTGTGAATCAATAGGTGTAAACCAATACCTGTTTTTCAGAGTTTTAATACAGCATTAACCATGTCTGCTCACAAGAGTCTGAATTAAGTTTTGCATTCTTAGATTCAGCTATACTTGACTAGAAACATTTTTGTTATTTCTTATGAATAAATAATAGGAGTACTCTTCAGTGTTCTGAAAACCGAGATTGGAGATTGTTCTGAGGGACTGATTGCACCCCAACTTTAGGGGGAAAGTGTCAAAGCAAAAACAAGTCTACAAGACCCATTTAAGTGCCTAATGAAAGTACATCAGGGACTTCAATTAATTTTCATTCGTCAAACATTTGCTGGGCACAGTTGAGTGAGAAATCAGAGTTCTGATAGGAGGGAAGGGTATGGCAGGTCTGGCTTTGAGAATGAAGGCCCAGTGTCCATTTCATTGCATGCATGGTTCAAATCCATGGAGAAAGCTCTGGGTCCCAGGCCAGAGCCTCATTCATTGAGTGACAGACTGGCCTGTCTATCCTGACACTGGAGCTGCCATTGTCAAGGCCATTCAGGGGTAGTGTGTCCTGCTGTCCAGCAGGATTGACCATCTCTCCGGTCCCCTATGCTGAAGATTTCAAAGTGGGAGGCACAGTTCATCCGCTATGATTCTCATTTCCTGTGACAATAAGCAACGTGTGGATTCAACTAAATGCCTGGCTGCTCTGCTGTCACATCACTTCTGGGGAACCCTATTCTCACAGTAATGGTCTGAGAGTGTTATTCTGTGTGGCTGTGTCTATGGCTGTCTGTGGGACACAGAGCCGAGAGTTAAATTGGTGAGAGTGTGCTATGAGTGGATGTCTGGAGGGGAGAAAGACGGACTCACCAGCATCACTTGTACAGAATCCACCATGAGCCCCATGTAGGGCTTCAGGATGTTATAATGGAAGGCTGGGGTCAGCATCTGCCAGTGCTGGTGTCACTTCTTCCCATTCAGCAGGGGCAAACCATACCCTGGGCCAAGAGATGGGTGTGTGTATGTGTTGAGGGGATGGGAGGTGGGATGAAAGGGATCTCTGGGAAAACAGAGAAGGCAGTTCCTGAGGAGAGAAAACCTAGAAGGTACTTCAGGGGATATGGCCGGAAAAGCAGGTGCATTTCAGGTGTGGAAATGTCCTCATTGGGCAGATACATCCCTGGGATTATGACAGCTGTAAGACGAAGGTTGAAAAATGTTGTGGGCAGATGTTAAATAAATACCAGGCTGAGGATGTCTGGAGAGAACCGAGAAGTGAAGTGGAAGAAGCTGAGCCTCAGGACGGCTTCCACCAGCATTAGCAAAGTGAGGGTCTTGTTATATGTAAAAAGGAACATCAAACTGGATTAGGGATGGGGGTCATGACAATGGTGGCCCCTCACCTGTTGTTCGCTGTGAGCCAAAGAGATTGCTCTTAGCAAATCTACCTGGGCAGTAGATGACAGTCCTAGTTTACATGTAAGTACCAATCCAGGGAGCCAGGAGTCTGGAGATTTCTGTAACTTTGGGGTCTGAAAGACAAGAAAAGTCTTTACAGGAAACTGGGAACTACTAAATTTGGCATCCCCAGAGGGGATCTATCAGACCATGGGCTTCTACCAGTTGATATCTGTCTGTTGGCAGTTTGACCCATGTCGTTTCCCACTTGTCTCCTGTCCCTTTCCATGTCTGCCATGAAGGTCAATGTGGGCTTAGGAAGTCAGACTCAGTGTTCTCACAGCAGAAAATCCACAGACCTAGGAAGGAGTTGATGAGAAACATAGGCAATGTCCTCCAGGCCAGAGAGTAAGAGATGGAGCCATTGGTGGTGGCTTAGTCTGTCAATGATGCAGGACTGGAAGCAATTATGGTTACCAAATCCATGTCATAATTCACTGATAAGTGACAATGAGAATAAGAAACCCAAATCTCAAAATTAGAGATCAACACCTGTGCCATATGCATATACCTAAATGTCTATAAGACATGTGGCAGTGTTCATTTCAGATTAACTCTATTAGGTTAAAACAGCAAGAAAGAACAGAAAAAAAAAAAAGGAAACCAGTAAATTTAGCCCCACACAGTTGTTTTAAACATTCATTACTCAGTAAATACTTTTGGCTGTAGCCTAGACTGTGGACTTTGTGGATGGTTGGGACAGGGTTTAAATATTAATATTTGAACTGTCACTTTCTACTGGGATTTTACAGGCTCAGGGGCCTGTATCAATCAGCAGGGAAGAGCTGATTGAGTCAAGATAAAATTTCAGTCTCACCTGATCTCCCCAGAATCACCTTCATGTAGTCAGGGTCATAAAGCTGGACACGAACTTTATCTCCCCATAGCGAATGCAGACAGGCACTTGGGAATGTCTCCACCCATTTCTGAATCTGTTGTAGCTCCTGGTCCTGTTGGAACTGTCAATAAGGGTAGGCAAATGAACACTTTCATTTAGTTCTTCTAGTCTGTGCAGCGGGAGCGAAGCGCAGGGCAGGACAACCACAGAGACCTTGTAGTTCCGGATCTACCAGTACAAGTCAGGAATTTGGACTGTTTCTGATGATCTAGGCTCTGATCCAGATTCTTGTCCTCTCCCCAAAACTTGACCTCAGGTCAGATTCTGTCCGTCTGCTGTGTGGAGCTGTGGGGTCAATGCTGCCTACAGAAACTTAAGTCAGCCATTGTCTTCACATTGTGTAAAATCTCTGGAAGTCATAAACACAACAATTTCCATGGGCAACGTGCATAACTTGTATCATTCTGTAAGCAGATTTGTAAAATAATTTAGTATCGTTAGAGAATAAAATGAATTAATGTAAACATTCAAATTACACAATAATTTAATATAATCATGCTTTCCCAGCATACGTGTAAATATTTAAGATAAAAATAGCATTAGGAATGTGTATGACTAAGTGAAAAATGATTAACTATAAAATTGTGTGCATATAGTATTCTACATGCTGAATATGTACAGATTTATGGACAGAATCTGGGTATATGCATATGGCACTGGTGTTGATCTATGATGTTGAGATTTGGGTTTCTTATTCTTATTTTCACTTATCAATGAAATTTGAGCTCCCTGCTGACTAAAGTCAGCTTTCTAAACTCTTCGATGTGTATCACAAAGCCCTTGGCCTTCTGGCTTCAACTTTTGTTTTCTTGCCTCCAGCCTTGCTGGCAATTCCGCCATCACCCATTTGTTTCAGCTCCAACGCCGCTGCCACCGCTGCTGCTGATCCGCACACCAGCTACACCTGCTCACTCGTCTGGGCCCTGGCACGTGCTCTTTTCTCTACCTGGAATGCCCCTCCACTCTGCCACAGTGCACCCACCTCTCCTCAGCTTTCAGGACTCAGCTTTCCTTTAATCTCATCTGGAACCCTCACAGACATTGGGTCCTAGTGATGGTCCATGTAGCCAACTCTTCATTTCAACTGCTTCTAGTAACTCAAAGCAACTGTCTACCACGTAAGTCTCTAATCTCTGCCCACCTGCTTCTGACATCCACATTCTCCAGCTCTGAGGCAGCTTGCCCTACAGTGGGGCAGGTTCCTTCATTCAGCACTTACTGCACACACACCATGTGCCAAGTGTGGTTCAGGCACTGCGTTAGGACACAGCTCTGTGTAGAATTTCCAGTCTAGTTGGGGAGTAAGGAAGATTAGAGATCGTGCAGTAGGAGATCATTAATACTGAGTTGAAAGGAAGAACAAGTATCTGTGGACTGATTAACAAGTATCTTAGAGCCCAGGCCCAGCCTGCCCTCCCACTCTCCTGTCAACTCCTTCCTACCTCCTGGCTGTGCCCAAAGAGCCAGTGGGAAGGATGAGATGGGAACTGCTGGACGGCTTTCAGCAGCCACTGCCAATGCAGGTAGAACTGGGCTGCCTTGAGCAGCAGTAGAAGCAGGCACAGCAAGAAAATCACTTGAAGGAGCCCAGAGATGCTGTCGGAATCTGGTGAGGATTGGCACAGGTACACCCATGGTACAGCACCTGCTGGATCTCTGAGTGTACCTGTCTGTCCCTGACTGCCCCTCCCCACCTGTGCTCAAATCCTGGGAGGGTTGTCCCACCCACCTTTGGGGAGGGTTGAAGGGGTAGGGCAGAGCTTGGACTTCAGAGTTCAGAGTTGACTGGGTGTGGGAAATAGTGAGAGGAAAGCTTCAACTGTCAGTGGTAATGGCCACCGGGAATGGTTGCTTTGTCAACCTCAAGTGAACTAGTCTTACGAATAGTTACTATTGACATGAATTAACACTGCCTGGCATTTTTAGAAATCTCTACCTAAGCATTCTCTAAAGCTTTATTATTCTTATGCTCTGAATACATTATTCATGTTTTAAATGATAAACAATATCTTTAAAAAATAGGACTACTTAAAACTCTGTCTTTTACTACAGCCTCACTAAATATATTTTTTTTTCAAATTTTATTTTAGATACAAGAAGAACATATGCAGGTTTGCTACATGAGTATATGGTACCCAGGTAGTGAGCATAGTACTCAATAAGCAGTTTTTCAACCCATGTCCCCCTCCCTGCCTCCCTTGTCTAACAGTGTATAGTAGCTATTGTTCCCATGTTTATGCCCCTGTATGTTCAGTATTCAGATCCCACTTACAAGGGATAATATGTGGTATTTGGTTTTCTGTTCTTGCATTTATTTTCTTAAGATTATGGCCTCTAACCCCATCCATATGACTGCAAAATACATAATTTTATTCTTTCTATGGCTGCATAGTATTCCATGTATGTATGCATGCACCACGTTTTCTTTATCTAATCCACAATCGATAGGCTTCTAGGTTAATTCTATGTCTTTGCTATTGTGAAGAATGTGGCGATGAACGTGGGAGTGCATATCTTTTTAGTATAATCATCTATTTTCTTTTCACTATTATACTTCCTGCTTGTTTCTTTCTTGCTTGCTTGCTTGCTTGCTTAGGATTGCTTTTGCTACTCAGGCTCTTTTTAGTTTCCATATACATTTTAGAACTTTTTTTCTAATTCTGGAAGAATGGCATTAGTAGTTTGATAGGAACAGCACTGGATTTGTAAATTGCCTTGGGCAGTATGGCCACTTTAATGATATTAATTCTTCCAATTCATCAGCATGGAATGTTTTTCCATGTGTTTGTGTTGTCTTTGATTTCTTTCAGCAGTGTTTGGCAGTTCTCTTTGTAGAGATCTTTCATTTCCTTGGTTAGCTGTATTCCTAGGTACTTCATTTTCTTTGTGGCTGTCTTGAATGGGAGTGTGTTCTTGATTTGACTCTCAACCTGAATATTATTGGTGTATAGAATAATCTGAAAATGGCTAGATCGTGGTTGTTTTGGGTAGTGTGGTATGGAGGTGGGAGAGCTTCTAGTTAAGTAAGGATGCTAAAATAAAAGTCTCTTTCTGAAGTATTCCATGTCTTTTGGACCCTTTCCAGGAACTGTCAACTATTGATCAAAAAAGTCAAGGCATCGTATGTTTCTTCTGTGGTCATTATTCCATGATGCTCAGACTACTCGAATTTATAAACTTGGGAAGAATCTTTTAGCAAATTTTCTCAACTGTCTGTATTACTTCAGTATATTCATGGGAATTCCATAGGATTTTTGTGTTTGAGATATGGTATCCAGTTTGCATAGTGTCTACTTCTTTGTAATCCAGTTGCTGTTAAGAATGATGTGCTTTAAAGAAAAAGAGAAAACTGCATCACAGTCCCATTCTACAGTGTCCCTGCAATGAATTACTGAGCATTTGGGAAGCAGCATCAAGTGTATAACAGGCATGACGTGAAACTGTTGATCTTTGACCTGTGATCAAAATTGAACCATTGTGCAGTTTGGTTTCTATTTGCTTCCAAATATGTAGAATTTTCCTTGACCATTAATTTGCAAGACTAACTTTGAGAGTGTAACAGTTTTGAAGAAAACATTGAATGTTTTTCAAATGAAGGGGCTTACAGAATGTTACAATGTTATTAATATAATTTGGCTTTTGTTATGCAAATTGTTAACACCAGCTATTAAAATATATTTTAGTAGGGAAAAAAAGAAATGCTCCTGATTTTTGTACATTGATTTTGTTTTTTTTTTTTTTATTATACTTTAAGTTCTGGGGTACATATGCAGATCTTGTGGGATTGTTACATAGGTATACACATGCCGTGGTGGTTTGCTGCCTACATTAGATTTTTCTCCTAATGTTATCCCTCCCCAATTTCCCCACCCCACTGACATCCCTCCCCTAGCCTCCCAAACCCCAACAGACCCAAGTGTGTGATGCTCCCCTCCCTGTGTCCATGTGTTCTCATTGTTTAACATCTGCCTATGAGTGAGAATATGCAGTGTTTGGTTTTTGGTTCTTGTGTCAGTTTGCTGAGAATGGTGGTTTCCAGATTCATCCCTGTCCCTGCAAAGGACATGAACTCATCCTTTTTATGGTTGTATAGTATTCCATGGTGTATATGTGCCACATTTTCTTTATTCAGTCTATCCTTGATGGGCACTTGTGTTGGTTCCATTTTGTATCCGGAGATGTCGCTAAAATTGTTTATCAGTTCCAGGAGTCTCATGACAGAGTCTTCAGGGTTTTGTAAGTATGGAATCATATTGTCAGCAAAAAGATATAGTTTGAACTCTTCTTTTTCTATTTGGATGCTTTTACTTCTTTCTTTTGCCTGATTTCTCTGGCTAGGACTTCCAGTTCTATGTTCAGTAAGAGTTGTGAGAGGGAGTTTCCTTGTCTTGTTCCAGTTCACTGGCAATGGTTCCACCTTTGTTTTTTGAAACAGAGTCTTGCTTTGTCACCCAGGCTGGAGTGCAGTGGCATGATCTTGGCTCACTGCAACCTCCACCACCTGGGTTTAAGTGAGTCTCCTGCCTCAGCATCCTGAATAGCTGGGATTACAGGCACATGCCACTACACCTGGCTAATTTTTGTATTTTTAGTAAAGACAGGGTTTCAGCATGTTGGTTAGGCTGGTCTTGAACTCCTGACCTCATGATCCACCCACCTCAGCCTCCCAAAGTGCTGGGATTACAGGCGTGGGTCACCGCACCCAGCCGGTTCCACCTTTTGCCCATTTAGTATGATGGTTGCTTGGTTCATTATGCATGGCTGTTATTATTTTGAGGCATGTTCTTTGGATGCATAGTCTGTTGAGGGTTTTTGTCATGAAGGGATGTTGGATTTTATCAGAAGCCTTTCTGTGTCTGTTAAGATGACCATCATATGGTCGATTTCAATTCTGTTTATGTGGTGGATCACTTTTATTGATTTATATATTTGAGCCACCTTGCAACCCAGAAGTACAGTCTACTTGATCATGGTGAATGAATTCTTGATGTATTGCTGGATTCGGTTTGCTGATATTTTGTAGAGGATTTTTACATTTACATTCACCAGTGATATTGGTCTGAAGTTTTCTTTCTTTGTTATGTCTTTGCCCTCCCTAAATATCGAAAGCCTTGCAGTACCAAGTTTACCATTCCTGGCTGGCTTCTATTTTGAAGAAAAGACACCAGAAACAAGGCCAAGTTTTCAAAATCACTTTATATTAAATGGGTAAAATAATCTTAACCCAAATAATAAATACTAACTTTACCCCAAATAGAGCTGGTTAACGTAATGGTTTGTTATTTGTGTAAGACTTAGACATTTGTGATCAGAGGTACAACTCTTGTTCTTACCAATATGTTGATTGTT